AAATGAAGAAAAGAGAAGATGAGAAAAAGGAAGAAATGAAAGAAAATGATGGAAGTAAAGAGAAATAAGGAGGGGAAGTAATTAAAAGGAAGAGACAGATGAGAAATATAGGTGTGGAAGGCGGAATGAATGGAAAAGCAGAAAGAAGGAAAAAGGAAATGTGTAAAATACAATTTAAAGTACCTACAGTGTTTGTATAGGGTTTAGACTATTTTGGTCAAAAGTTTTGACCGAAATAATTTTGGCGAACAATTCAAAATGTTTCACTTGATTTGTGGAGCTAAAACATTAATTTCGAATAAGAATTCTGATTGAAATAATTTTGGCAAAAATTTTAAGAAATTTCACTTAATTCTTGGAGTTAAAACAATATAATTTCGGTCAAGCATCTTGACCGAAATAGTTTCTTAGAGAATTAAAAACATTTAAGAAAGAAAGCGTCATAGTAATATAATTAAAAAAAAAAGGAGACAATTATCTCGATGAAGATGCTTGATCAAAATAATTTTATAGAAAATTTAAAAAAAAAAGAAAAAGAAAAAAGAAAGAGAGTGCTATACTAATACAATTTAAAAAAAAAAGAGTTATTTTAGTTAAGATGCTTGACCAAAATAATTTCATAGAAAATTAAAAAAATTTAGGAAAGAAAGTGCCATAGTAATATAATTAAAAAAAGGAGACAATGATTTCGGTCAAGATGCTTGACCGAAATAATTTTATAGAAAATTAAAAAAAATTAAGAAAGAGAGTGTTATACTAATACAATTAAGAAAAAAAGAGTTATTTTTCATAGAAAAGTAAAAAAATTTAGGAAAGAAAGTGCCATAGTAATATAATTAAAAAAAAAAAAAGAGAGAGACAATTATTTCGGTCAAGATGCTTGACTGAAATAATTTTATAGAAAATTAAAAAAAATTAAGAAAGAGAGTACTATACTAATACAATTAAAAAAAAATAGAGAGTTATTTTGGTCAAGATGCTTAAGCGAAATAATTTTATAGAAAATTTAAAAATTTTAAAAAGAAAGCGTCATACTAATACATTTTTTTTTTAAAAAAAAGGGAGACAATTATTTGGTCAAAATTTTTGACCAAAAAACATAATTAAATTAAAACAAAAATTACTTAATTAATTTGGTCAAAATTTATGACCGAAATACTTACTATTTTATTATTAATATATTTCGGATAAAATATTTGACCAAATTAATAGTGGTGTCAATTGATGCTCTTTTATTTCGGTCAAAATTTT